TTTCTGTCCTCAGGATGCAGAGAATTCGCTCCAAGCAGCAGAAGTACAAATATGGACACAAAACAAGTGAAAACAAGGAAAGCCGGGCTGTCGGTGCGACTCTTTTTACTGCCGTGTATTTCCTGTCACTGCCACAAGTTTAATCAGTGTCATTTGAAATCAATTACATCCGTTAGAATGCAGTTCTTATGTAAAAGTTTAAGATACTGGTTCTTTTCTTTTTACACTTTCTATTATTTGTAAAAACTGTTTATTTGAAGAAGTATATTTGCTGTCTCCTCATCCTCTTTCCTGCCTTGTTGTCCTGATTCCCCTTCATTCCTTCCTGTTCCCTACATTTTTCTTCACTTCTGTTAGTCAATAAAACTTCTCTGTCCTGCATGTGTTAGCTTCACACACCCTTAACATTTACTCTTTATTTCTTTTGTATTTCTGTTCTTCCCTCTGTTTCGTTTTAGCACCACTTTTATTAGGAAGATATTTCTGTTTCCCCCAAAAAGATTAAAACACTTCCCAGACTTCTCTTAGTGCAACTATTAGTGCAACTCTAAGCTTAGCATCCCCGCAGTGAGTCTGTCCTGAAAGCTCTTTGAACTTCTGTTTTCATTCCAGATGATCCAGAGATCCAGACAGGAAAAAAGAGATCCAGGAAGAAGCTGTGGCACCAGCCATGGTTGGACCATGCTGCAGGTAGCCTGGATAATAAGACGGAGACAATACTGATGTGTGGAAAAACATACAAATAACCCAAACCCAAGAGTTATGACTGTCTAAACAACAGACAGAGCTCCAGGCTTGGGTACAAGATCCAAGCCAAGCCTGTAGTCTTAGTAGTAGAATAGTCTCTGTATGTAGTATAGTGTTGAATATAGAGTGTTGATCTGTGGAACCAGCCCAATACAGGAAGTCTGGAAAGGCTCTCTGTTTCAAAAGTGTTGCCCAGTAGGCAGAGCTGATGAGTCAGGAGACTCGCCCAGCTCGAAGTGCCTCAAAACCTTCTGGATGTCTGATACTCTGATTACTCTGATAAAAAACCAGAAACCCTGAATAGCCTCGCAGGCCGGTCCTACCAACCACGTCCGTTATGGTAGCTCCTCTCTAGATCTGTGCTCCTGAAATATGACTGGGTTTATTTTAAGCCTAGAATGGTCTGTTACTTTAGAAGGCTGGAGTAACCTGTAATGTCGATTAATACTCAGAGTTTTACCTTTACTGTTTCTGTAAAATAGTAAAGAGAAAAGGGAACGTCCACAATTTAGACGTATTTGATGTTTTATTGAAGCAGTTCAGCAGGAGCAAAGCAAAGTCCAGAGCCACATCTTCAT